AGTTGGAAGCATGTTGAGGAGGACCTCGCTGGAGTAAGACAGGATGAGGAGGACCTCGCTGGAGTAAGACAGGATGAGGAGGACCTCGCTGGAGTAAGACAGGATGAGGAGGACCTCGCTGGAGTAAGACAGGATGAGGAGGACCTCGCTGGAGTAAGGCAGGGTGAGGAGGACCTCGCTGGAGTAAGACAGGGTGAGGAGGACCTCGCTGGAGTAAGACAGGATGAGGAGGACCTCGCTGGAGTAAGACAGGATGAGGAGGACCTCGCTGGAGTAAGACAGGATGAGGAGGACCTCGCTGGAGTAAGGCAGGGTGAGGAGGACCTCGCTGGAGTAAGACAGGATGAGGAGGACCTCGCTGGAGTAAGACAGGATGAGGAGGACCTCGCTGGAGTAAGACAGGGTGAGGAGGACCTCGCTAGAGTAAGACAGGGTGAGGAGGACCTCGCTGGAGTAAGACAGGGTGAGGAGGACCTCGCTGGAGTAAGACAGGATGAGGAGGACCTCGCTGGAGTAAGACAGGGTGAGGAGGACCTCGCTGGAGTAAGACAGGATGAGGAGGACCTCGCTGGAGTAAGACAGGGTGAGGAGGACCTCGCTGGAGTAAGACAGGGTGAGGAGGACCTTGCTAGAGTAAGACAGGGTGAGGAGGACCTCGCTGGAGTAAGACAGGATGAGGAGGACCTCGCTGGAGTAAGACAGGGTGAGGAGGACCTCGCTGGAGTAAGACAGGGTGAGGAGGACCTCGCTAGAGTAAGACAGGGTGAGGAGGACCTCGCTAGAGTAAGACAGGTCCTGGTCAATAATGGCTACTCTAACTGATATATCGAAGAGATCATCACGTGGGAGGCGAGCCGCCGTGACCAGAAGAAGACCATTGTGTATGCCAATGATTTCTTCAGTTTCGACTAAGAGTAGAACCCCAGGTACTGGTTGTATAGACATAAGAGAACAAAGTACGATTTTCTTCTGCCGGAGAGGAATAAATTTGGGTGTTGAAAGTATTTTATTTCATGGGGGGGGAAGTCTGTCGCATGACGTCGTCAGAATCATTCCCTCTGGTGTATATAAGAGGGACTCGGCGGTGGAGCAACAATCCAATAGTTAGAGGTGAACCAGTGAAGTTAAAACTTCACCACAGTATTGAGGGCGGCTCAGGCAGACGGCTCTTACCGTTATTAGTTCCCTCAGACCCACGACCTGCCGGCGTCCCTCACAGCCACGACCTGCCGGCGTCTCTCCCACCCACGACCTGCCGGCGTCCCTCACAGCCACGACCTGCCGGCGTCTCTCCCACCCACGACCTGCCGGCGTCTCTCCCACCCACGACCTGCCGGCGTCCCTCACAGCCACGACCTGCCGGCGTCCCTCCCACCCACGACCTGCCGGCGTCCCTCACAGCCACGACCTGCCGGCGTCCCTCACAGCCACGACCTGCCGGCGTCTCTCCCACCCACGACCTGCCGGCGTCTCTCCCACCCACGACCTGCCGGCGTCTCTCCCACCCACGACCTGCCGGCGTCTCTCCCACCCACGACCTGCCGGCGTCTCTCCCACCCCCGACCTGCCGGCGTCTCTCCCACCCACGACCTGCCGGCGTCTCTCCCACCCACGACCTGCCGGCGTCTCTCCCACCCACGACCTGCCGGCGTCCCTCCCAGCCACGACCTGCCGGCGTTCCTCCCAGCCACGACCTGCCGGCGTCCCTCCCAGCCACGACCTGCCGGCGTTCCTCCCAGCCACGACCTGCCGGCGTCCCTCAAACCCACGACCTGCCGGCGTCTCTCTCACCCACGACCTGCCGGCGTCCCTCCCACCCAAGTACAGGATCCTGTAGGACGTCGCTGGTGACATCTCGCAGTTCTGAAGTCTCACTCCCTTCTAGTAACTCTGTTTTATGTTAAAACATAAAATGTATATTTTATGCTCCCTTATCCACTGGAGCACCTCACCTGCCTGTCACTCCTGACTCACCATCCTCTTGCGAAGAACTGTGTCAAATGCTTTCTGGCAACACAGGAAAATGCAGTCTGCCATACTTCTCTTTCTTGCTTAATTTTTGTCACCTGGTCTTAGAATTGTATTAACTCTGCGACGTACAATTTGTCATCCCTGAACCCCATGATGGTGGTGTGCAACCCGTTCTCGCACTTTTTTACAGTCAATATTGACTTATTAAATACGTGCATATGTGACATACTAAACATATTAGTTTACCTTTAAAAGCTTCATAGAAAACACCGACTTTACCTAACCTTCTTAGTATGTTAAGATAAGCATCTTATTGCTTCGTAATTACAATTATTACTTAACCTATTATAGGTATAGGTTAAGTAATAATATACCTATAATAGGTTATAACCTATTATAGGTATAGGTTAAGTAATAATTGTAATTACGAAGCAATAAGATGCTTATCTTAACATACTAAGAAGGTTAGGTAAGGTCGGTGTTTTCTATTAAGCTTTTCAAGGTAAACTAGTATGTTAAGTATGTCACATATGCACGTATTTAATAAGTCAATATTGACTATACGAAAGTGCGAGAACGGGTTGTGGTGTGTTACAAGGTCACTCCTTTCCAGGTGTAATATATGATTTTTCCTCACATTCTTCATCACCTTACATGGTATACAAGTTAGGAACACCGGACTGTAGTTCCATGCCTCTTCCTTCCACTTTGTTTATATTGGGACTATGTTAGCTGTCTTCCAAGATTCTGGTAGGTCTCTTGTTTCTTGTGACGTATTGTACACCATAGAGAGCGTCAGGCAAAGTGCTTCTGCATCGCCTTTTAGTATCCACAGTGTGATGCTGTCGGGTCCAACAGCTTTTCCTAGTTGACCAGACCACACACTAGAAGGTTGAGAATGACTTGACTTGAGAATGGTCCAGGACGGACCGAAACGTCGTCGTCCCTTCACCTTCTAGTGTGTGGTCTGGTCAACTTACTTTAGCCACGTTATTGTGACTCATCGCCTGCACCTTTTCCTACTTTCAGACCCAGCAGATACCTCCTAACCTCATCTTTGGCAGTTTCAAAATCTTCCAAGGCTGTCTGATTTACTGCCGCTTCTCTTAGTTTCCGTGCTCAATTGTAAAGACCTCCTGGAAGATCTTGTTGACCTCTTCACACACCACCTTGTCATTCTTTGTGTACCCTTTCTTAGTTTCATCACCTGTTATTTCACCGGCTTTAGGGAGCCGGTGGCTGAGCGGACAGAACACTAGACGCGTGATCCTGTGGTCCTGGGTTTGATCCCGGGCGCCGGCGAGAAACAATGGGCAGAGTTCCTTTCACCCTATGCGCCTGTTACCTAGCAATAAATAGGTACCTGGGTGTTAGTCAGCTGTCACGGGCTGCTTCCTGGGGGTGGAGGCCTGGTCGAGGACCGGGCCGCGGGGACACTAAAGCCTCGAAATCCCGTTGTTTTCATTCAGATGTGATGCTGTGGAGCAGTTTTGGCTGGATCATGACTATTTCCTAAGCCGTTTTCATACAGTCTCTCCCGAAATCATCTCAAGATAACCTTAAGATAACCAAGAAAACCTCCACTTTTCTTGTCACACTGAAGAGTGGTGAGGTCTCTTGTGGAAGAGAGGTGAGGGGAGTTACTATGTGGTGTAAGCTTGCGAGGGTTACCATGTGATGGAGAGGTGATAGAGGAATGAGGGGAAAGGGGGGCAGGGCCGCACCGAACGCCACAAACCCACGCTGTTCCCAATCCGGTTCCAACACCTCCACACATGTCCACATCCCACCTGAAGACCTGCTCCCCCCCACCCAACCCGGCCCGCCCAGCCGCGCGCAGACATATCATTGGCCATTTTTCTATGATAATGTTCCCACGGACATTTTTCAGAATCGGCGCCAAGAAAAGCCCCGAGTCCGCCCCCACCATAACTCAGGGTGTGTTCCCGCCGTCTCTTGGCGCCTGCGTCAAGACGACCCGCGCTCTCTATTGCGTCAAGACGACCCGCGCTCTCTATTGCGTCAAGACGACCCGCGCTCTCTATTGCGTCAAGACGACCCGCGCTCTCTATTGCGTCAAGACGATCCGCACTCTCTATTGCGTCAAGACGACCCGCGCTCTCTATTGCGTCAAGACGACCCGCGCTCTCTATTGCGTCAAGACGACCCGCGCTCTCTATTGCGTCAAGACGATCCGCGCTCTCTATTGCGTCAAGACGGTCCGCGCTCTCTATTGCGTCAAGACGACCCGCGCTCTCTATTGCGTCAAGACGACCCGCGCTCTCTATTGCGTCAAGACGACCCGCGCTCTCTATTGCGTCAAGACGACCCGCGCTCTCTATTGCGTCAAGACGACCCGCGCTCTCTATTGCGTCAAGACGGTCCGCGCTCTCTATTGCGTCAAGACGACCCGCGCTCTCTATTGCGTCAAGACGACCCGCGCTCTCTATTGCGTCAAGACGACCCGCGCGCTCTATTGCGTCAAGACGACATAAAACAACTTATAATAGAGAAGAATGACAGTAGTCATTGCTTTAAAACAACCGAAGGCTAGAGAGGCGGGATCCAAGAACTAACGCTCGATCCTGCAGGCACAAATAAGTGAGTACAAATAGGTGAGCACACACACACACACACACACACACATCTAATATCAGAGATATTAGAAAGAACTTTTTTAGTGTCAGAGTGGTTGACAAATGGAATGCATTAGGAAGTGATGTGGTGGAGGCTGACTCCATACACAGTTTCAAGTGTAGATATGATAGAGCCCGATAGGCTCATGAATCTGTACACCTGTTGATTGACGGTTGAGAGGCGGGACCAAAGAGCCAGAGCTCAACCCCCGCAAACACAACTAGGTGAGTACAACTAGGTGAGTACACACACACACACACACACACACACACACACACACACACACACACACACACACACACACACACACACACACACACACACACACACAACCTACCTCATGCATGAGTAAGTGAGGAGAGATACTGGTGAATGAGTCAGAAGGTACTCACCACTACCAAGCAGGATGGAGTCCTACTTGAAGACGTCGTGCTGGAGTCGTAGCAGCACCAGCATCCCTCAGGCCCTCTCCGTCACCCTGCATGAGGAACAACACTCAGGTAAATAATTCTCATCATTTTGACTCATGTCGATGTTATAGACGCGATAGTTCATCATTTTATTTTATCACTGGCGGATAAATAAGAGACTCATTACTCATGTTTACGTCACTAGAGGGGCAGGTGAGTGACTCATTACTCATGTTTACGTCACTAGAGGGGCAGGTGAGTGACTCATTACTCATGTTTACGTCACTAGAGGCACAGGTGAGTGACTCATTACTCATGTTTACGTTACTAGAGGGGCAGATGAGTGACTCATTACTCATGTTTACGTCACTAGAGGCACAGGTGAGTGACTCATTACTCATACGCCACTCCCGGTGATGAGCGGGAAGAGCTATCACTCACCACCGCGACATCTGGAGTGTTTGTTTGTGCATTTGATGGGGTCCAGGCAAGGCTCGTCCCCCCATCAAGCCAACATCTGTGTGAGTGAAGGTGGGGTGGAAGAGGGGGGGTAGTTGTGGTGGGGTGGAGGAGGGGGGTGCTTGTGGTGGGGTGGAGGAGGAGGGGGGTGGTTGTGGTGGGGTGGAGGAGGGGGGGTGGTTGTGGTGGGGTGGAGGAGGGGGGTGCTTGTGCTGGGGTGGAGGAGGAGGGGGGTGGTTGTGGTGGGGTGGAGGAGGAGGGGGGTGGTTGTGGTGGGGTGGAGGAGGGGGGTGCTTGTGGTGGGGTGGAGGAGGAAGGGGGTGGTTGTGGTGGTGAGGTGGAGAAGGTGGTGGTGGTGAAGGCAGCTGTCACAAAGGTGCCCAAACGCTTCCTCAATAGCATAACACAAGGATTGTAACACAAATAAGTAATTGTACCAAACCCCCGTCTATGCCCGCTATAGAGCCATGAATTGGTCTTCATCATTACCTTTCCTACATATTATCCGACAAGAAATTAGTTTCAACACCTTAAGATTAACCTGTACCTCACATACACTCACTCAGGACGGCGCCTTTCCAGTGAATATTCTTAACAAATCCTGTATAAATAGTGTTTACTCAAACGTCACAGGCACTCATCATGCCAAAGCTATCTTAGAGGTACCTTGGGAGCCCCTTTAGCCTACCTTCGACATCAACACCCCATACTCTAGCCTACCTTCGACATCAACACCCCCCTACTCTAGCCTACCTTCGACATCATCACCCCATACTCTAGCCTACCTTCGACATCAACCCCCATACTCTAGCCTACCTTCGACATCAACCCCCATACTCTAGCCTACCTTCGACATCAACACCCCATACTCTAGCCTACCTTCGACATCAACCCCCATACTCTAGCCTACCTTCGACATCAACACCCCATACTCTAGCCTACCTTCGACATCAACCCCCCATACTCTAGCCTACCTTCGACATCAACCCCCCATACTCTAGCCTACCTTCGACATCAACCCCCCATACTCTAGCCTACCTTCCACATCAACCTCCCATACTCTAGCCTACCTTCGACATCAACCCCACATACTCTAGCCTACCTTCGACATCAACCCCCATACTCTAGCCTACCTTCGACATCAACCCCCCATACTCTAGCCTACCTTCGACATCAACCCCACATACTCTAGCCTACCTTCGACATCAACCCCACATACTCTAGCCTACCTTCGACATCAACACATTTATACCAGCGACATACCATCATGCTGTGTCTTCACCCTTCCGTTTTGAACACAAAGGTCTCCACATGGGTCACCAGTGTCAGGGCAGATTAGCCTTGTAATGGGTACTCAACTTCCACTTCCTCAACCTGCAGTTCGAGTTCTATTCACTACACCTAAAGGAAGTTTGTTACGGCCACTATGGGCCAGTAACCGGGTTCTTGTTGTTGTTTAAGATTCGCTACTTGGAACAAAAAGTTCCAAGTAGCACGGGCTATGGCGAGCCCGTAGTGCCTCTACCGGGTTCTTGCTGTTATAACCTCTTCTTCTCTATCCAACTTCAAGTCAGGGGAAAGTTTTCAGGCACTGGCTGTGGCAAGTAGTAGGGCAATGAATAAAAGGGGGATGGGGTAAACAATACACTATTCACCTTTTACCAATATATTAACACCTTCACCACTATATATATATTAAGGTCGTCCACTCCTAATGGCAAACACCGGCGAGTTCACCTTCTACAATACATTTTCTTCAAGTCCCATAACTTCGATTGGGCCTTATTCCCCTCGTCCAGGAACGGTGATTTTTACGTGGTGTTTTTCGGTGAGTTTCTTTATTGTATCACCCTTGGGCCCAAGGATCACTTTCCTGTGTTCTTCTCCGATTTCTATGGTCTTTTAAATGGTCTTTTTCTGATGTTACGCAACGAGTTCTTCAATATCTTTAATTGCTGTCAATACATTTTGCTCAAGTCCAATAACTTCGGTTGGGCCTTATTCCCCTCGTGCAGGAACGTTAATATGGACTCGACCGTCCAATTGGTTGGGTACCATTCCTTCCCCCCGTCCCATCCCAAATCCTTATCCTGACCCCTTCCCAGTGCTATATAGTCGTAATGGCTTGGCGCTTTCCCACTGATAGTTTCCTTTCCTTCACCTTCTACAACATGGGCCAGTCCACACACACCGTATCTTCACGATGTGTCGACACCCCACTTCCACTCTCCAGATACACTCTGGCCGACGGTTTCAGCCACACGCTGACAGGGGTCTCAAACAATCACATATAGGGGTAGCTAACACCCTGGCAGAAGTCTCTAGCAGCTCACTAGCAGAACTTCTCAACAGACGCACCACTATCGTCACGTAACTCTTCCTGGCCAATCCCGGGTACGTCATTAACTAGATTGACAGTATACAGGGTGACCCTAGGATAAAACCCATCCACTGGGGAATTGAAATTGTAACCTGTAGCCACGACCTAGATGGCGTTGATATCGATACGCCGTCCACCAGAGGTTATCATAACCCTGGAAACACAAACTGAAACTGTCTCTATTTTCCGCTTGTTACAACTAGTAATAAAGTTGTTGCATCTTGGCTTAGAGTGTTTATGACGTATTAGAACGTTGTTACAACTTGGTATATTGGTTGTTATAACTGGTTAGGAAGTGTTAAAACTTGTTCGAACGTTGTACCAACGTCGTAGTTTTGGTGTGTGTTTGGCGGGAATCGACCTCCTCTTCTAACTGGGACAGGAAACCGGAGCCTTTCACCAATACCACGCCACGAGCAATAGATGGCGTTGTCTGTGTAGCACCCAATACCAGGGAGTTGGAGTGCAGACCCATAGATGGCGCTGATATCGCCACGCCATACTCCAGCGACGGTGTCGATACTGTAACAAAGCTTCTATAGAAATTCTGCTTTTCTGAACATTCATGACAAATGTAAACACCCACTGTATTGGATATAAAAGAATCGAGACACAAAATAATTGCAAATATATCTATGATATAAGTATGTGTGTGTTGAAGACGATGGTAGACTTAGGCAAACTTGAAGTTTTCTGAAGTTTGAGGAGAAAGTGGATGGTAAACAAGTGCTATAGCCGAACAGATATCCTAGATAACAGATACCCAGATAACAGACCGGTACGTAGCCTTGGACTTGGAAGCCTTTAGTCACGTGTGCGCGTCAAAACTCTACGGTTTTGTGTCGCCAGGTTTAACTTTCCTGTTAATTTTGCACATTACCTGGAAGATTATATATTGCGGCAGAATATATTAGTAGAATATAGGAAAATAATGCATAATACTTATGCAAATTACGATGTGATATGTGTGTGTGTGTGTTTTGTCCCCACCTAAAAAGTCATCATCAGCGGCATATGCTAGAATGGCCAACACAGGAATTGCCTTTAGAAACGTGTGTTAAGGAATCGTTCAAGGCCTTGTATACCACTTATGTCAGACCAATTCTGGAGTATGCAGCTCCAGCCTGGAGTCCATACCTAGTTAAGCACAAGACAAAGTTAGAGAAGATTCAGACGTATGCCACCAGACTGGTCCCGGAACTGAGAGGTATGAGCCGGTCCTGTCTGCAGTTACTGGTGCTTTCTACGGACGGTGCTGTCTGCTAGCACTGCTGCCAGCTTCTGGTGCTGTCTGCTGCTGGAGTTGTCTGCTGGTGGATAACGCCAGGACTCATACAGCTGAACATCAAAGTCTGCCCCTGACATTTTTCCCTGCATTATTATCAGACGCTAAACTAGTACCATGATTAAATCTCTGTCAAAAAGCGAAACTTCTTTTCCCATGTAAATTACGAAATAATAAAAATCGTAGAGAATTTAACGAGTGCCCGACACAATTGATAATGACAGGTATAGAGTGAGAGGCAAGGACGCCTCACTATAGCTTCATACTCTAGTGTGGGGCCATGTTTCTTTTACCAATATGGCCCTATATCCCCTTAGCCAGTATGGCAGCATATACCTTTTCCCAGACTGTCGAGATCATCACTACTAGTTGTCTTATATACCAAATATGACTTTAAAAGATGTCAACAGCCAGGTTTTCGTTAGGCAGGAGATAAGTCACAATAACGTGGCTGAAATATGTTGACCAGACCACACACTAGAAGGTGAAGGGACGACGACGTTTCGGTCCGTCTTGGACCATTCTCAAGTCGATTGTGAGAATGGTCCAGGACGGACCGAAACGTCGTTCCGTCCCTTCATTTGCTAGTGTGTGGTCTGGTCAACAGGTTTTCGTTACATCTTCTTATCTTGAGGTTATCTTGAGATGATTTCGAGGCTTTTTAGTGTCCCCGCGGCCCGGTCCTCGACCAGGCCTCCACCCCCAGGAAGCAGCCCGTGACAGCTGACTAACACCCAGGTACCTATTTTACTGCTAGGTAACAGGGGCATAGGGTGACCAGGACCACAGGATCACAAGTCCAGCGTGCTGTCCGCTCGGCCGACCGGCTCCCCTCGGGGTAGGAGAGGGTGTTCCGTTGCGGTGTTCGCTGCGACGGAAGATGCAACAATGGTGCAACACTGTCAGGAGACGCGGAGGATAGTGAGGCCGAGGATGGAGACGAG